CCTCAGCTGGAGGTGGCAGAACTAAGTTCCACCAAGTTCCAGCTGAAAAGAAAGCCCTGGATTTAGTTATCCTTTAAATATCATATAAAAGTACAAGCCATGTGTCACCACGTCAATAGTGTATACACACTTGTGGGGTAATAGGCCTAATTACATCATTTGTACAAGAGTAATCTATCTGCATGCAAAGGGTCATCTCACTCCCTTCCTGGACTACCACTATTACAGCAGCACTTGTATGTACATTCAGAGCCTCTCTTTACAAAGTCAAACACATTCAGAGATTTAATATAAGTACTGAAGGTATGTGACTAGAAAGTTCATGTACTGACTGTAGGCAAAGGCAAACAAGTGGAAAAATCATAAGCTGATTACTCCTTTTGTTTGCTGAAGAGCTGTGCTGGCAGATATATAATTATTACAATTTATGTGTGCATCCAACTTAAGACACCTAACCTATTTATCCACCACAGGCGGCATCCAAATCATAGCTGAATTAATGCATAGACAGATGGTCCAAAGACCAGGCAAACACTATCATGTCTATTTTTGGAGTTCATTCTGTTTTTGCAAGAAGGAAAACAGGCTCTGGAACCAAATTAAATTTAGAAAATATTACTAAACTTTCTTATTTCAATGAAGTTTAAACTCTATTTTGATGAATGTAGCAACAGATAAAAAAAGGTGGTTAAAACTTATCAAAATTAAGCTTATTCTTTATTAAATTGCAGATAAAATATTTTTAAAAATTTAGGTCCTATAGATATATGGATATATACAGTATATACTGTAGGCCCTAAAACCAAGATTGATATATACTAACTGGGTATTTATATTATATATATTCTTGCTTACCTAGACACACTAGAACAGCCTTTCTTAAGCTTTTTACCATGGAAGAACCTATAAAATCATTTTCCGGTCTTGGGGGAACCACTACTTAAAGTCATTTTATTAACAGCTCATGGTATATTATATATATGGTGGTTATTAGTGGATAGGTGCTTCTTTGAAAATGATCCGTAGTGTATCACTTTTCAGAGGAACGTAAAAAGAGCCTGCCACCTGATGCCCATTTTTTAAATTTTTTGCCTTAATTTTTTTATTTCCGAGCAGCAATCCTGCATTGCGGGATCACACCGCAACTGCGAACCAAGTGGCCTAATTCACTTATGTGGATGCCAGCTGTAAAACATGGCATATAGGATCAAAATTGCTGTGGCAATATGTACTAATTGCAGCTCCCTGGCCACCTATGTGAAAGGAACCTTAGACTGGAGGTCAATATAAAAAAGTACTGGAGAAAATGTTTGCGTTTACTTTAGTATGAGAATGACCCTCTTACTGTGGAGACAGTTGAAAGAATATTCTGTTACACTGGCGATCAATGTAGTACATCCTGTTGAGTGTTGTCAGTACTGGAAATTTGCGTACTGTTCATGGAACCCCTGATAATCTCTAGAGAAACCCCAAAGTTCCACCAAGAATGACTGTACTAGGATGGTGACTCCTTTTGTTAAAAGCTCCACCCCCGGTGTCAAGTAATTATTTTTTTCTTTAAATCAGATTTTTCTTTATTGAATGTTTTGTGTTTTATTACATACAAAACAGTCAAACAAAACAACTTAACATCATTGATCTAGATCCAGGGCAGCACAGTGGCTAAATGGTTAGCACTTCCACCTGGCAGCACCAGGGTCATTGGTTCAGTGGTGGACAGACGTTAGATTGCTGCTGAGGTACTCCATTTGTCAAATTACCTTTTAACTGACCACTCTATCACTGGGTGCACCATTGCTGATTTTAAACATTAACGTTTTTGTTGGAATACAGTGTTCATGTATTCTGTGCAACCAGGGCCGGTGCTAGACTATTTTGCGCCCTAGGCAAGACCAGCTACTTGGCAGTGGCAGGGTTACAGTTACATAGTTAGTCTGGCTGAAAAAAGACAAACGTCCAACCATTCAACCATTAAATGTTGGATCCACACTCTGACAGATCCCAGGCTGGAATTCCCCAGACAATGGAGGAGATAAAACGCTGTGACAGCAGGCAGCCCAGCCCACACACACACAGAGACACCTAAACTGAGAGACCCCACACAGTGGCAGATTTGACACAACACACCACCACCAAAACTGACACAGAACAGCAGGCACTAGAAGAGCAGGCTGTGTGATCGTGTTGATATCAACACTCACTAACACATTGCACATGTGATAGATGTCTGGCTTGCTGGGTCACACCGCACAGACATGAGACATCAGAGTCAGACATTACCTTCCATCAGGCGCAGCTCCACTTCCACTGATGAATGGCAAGAGGAGGGCTGGAAATCCACAGTGATCAGCAGCCGCCAGTCGGCTTTCATTAAGGGACTGAGCCTGAGAGGAACACTGAAAGGAGCAGCAGCTCAGCTGCTAAATTGGCCCCAGACACCCGGTATCTTCCTCTGTCAATTCTTCCTCCCCTCTGCCACCCCTTCCCTCAGCTGAAGGATCATTCATAAGGTGGTGGCATCCCGCACAGAAAGAGTACTGGCCTGTGCTGTGACCAGATGCCCCTAGGTGGCAGTGCACCCTATGCAGCCACCTAGTTTGCCTAGTGGAAGCACCGGCCCTGTGTGCAACAACTACATTCTTATTCAGTAGAGATATATTCTTAAACCCGTAGATGGCAGTGTTTATAAGTTTGTAGCTGCAGCTATGATAACCTCTATGTCTTTTCACTGAATAAAAGCTTCCTTTTTCCTTCTTGCAACGAAGCAGAAAAGCATGTGTGGACTATGCACTGTCTGTTCTGTAGTGCTATATGGAGAATCCTTAACAGATTATGGGCCCAGAAGCATAGGAATCCCAGTCACAGCCTGCCACAGCAAAAAAGTGCAAAATACAGCAACAGAAAGAAGACTGCCACGGAATAAAAGAAAATGGCCAGCAAAACAGCTGCAACAAAGCTATCATTTGCACATCTGACAAACCAGAACTAACAGTCTTGGAACATCAAGATGAAAATGCTGCTAATAAGAGAAGGTACATGGAAATGTACAAATGAAGTCAGACTAGAACACCTTCAGATGAGTGGATACAGAAAGATCAGAAAGCTCATAGCACAATTCTATTAGCATAGAAGATGATCAAATCATACATATAGGTAAGTGTGAAACTGCTAAAGAAATGTAGGAAGGATTACAAAAGGTGCATGAAAGAGCTAATCTCAGCAATAAATTGTATTTGATTAGAAAGCTGCTGAAAGGCCAGGATATGTAGGATTACATAAAGCATGCCCTGGAAATGGTTGAATGCCTGAGAGGTATACATTTTTGGAAGCAAAGCCTATGTGCACATCCCAAAAGAAAAACATACAAAATAGGATGCTTTCACAAAGGAAGATGTATTTGTGGGATACAGTGAATCTCTAATGGTATTCAGAATTCCACACCAAGACACAAGAAAGGTAACCATCAATAGAAGTGTAATTGTCGATGAAACTTCAGTGTGTTTAAAAGTTAATGAACTAACACAAACACTTCAAACTGAGGGAAATTCCATATCAGTGCCATATGAAGATAAACAACAAAGTGACACAGAAATAGACATTAACGCAGACAATCCAAACGCTGTAAAAGAAGAAACCAGGCCACAAATGCTTCAATCAGGATATCCACCAGAAGCAATAAAGGCATCCCAGCCAAACATCTGTCCTATGTTGCTCGTGTAGCATTAAAACCAGAGCCAGATTCATTGGATGAGATGAAAAGTGGTGATTAAATACCACCAAAAGAAATTTCTACCTGTCTCAAAAAACATAATAAAAATTTCATTTGGGTACAGTGTTGCATGACTGAGTAATTGTCAAAGTGTGACAGTGCTAAAAGCTGAAAAATGGCCTGGGCAGAAAGGGGGTGAAATGGTCCGATCTTAAGGTGATTGATGCACATGTTTGACATTTGTATTGCATTGCATGTTACTGTTTACATTGAAAGCTGTAGGATTATTAAAAGTTCTACTTTAAAGCGGAATGTCAGGGATGCGGGTGTGACCAGAGATGTGTGTACTGACACAAGGAAACGCAAGCTTCAGATATGGTATAAATAAGACAATTTATTAAAGACTAACAATACAAACATAAACGCAGTGCACCAAACCCCAAGCTAACACAAATACATACAACAAGGTGAAACAAACCCAAACCTAAACTGATACAGATACACAGGTACATACACATATAGAGCACAACGTAATCAGGCAGGCCGGGTCGATAACTATCGGGCAGGTAGGTACAGGAAGAGCAGGCGGAGAGAATGGTCAGGGTCACAAGCCAGGGATCAAAACAGGAGAAGTCAGCAGAGGTCAGGATCAGGCCGGGTCGGCAACAAGTCAGGCAGAGGCAGAGGCAGAAACAGGAACAGGAACAGGAACACAGGTTACAAGATACAGGGGCCCATGGAAAAACACACACCAAGGCCCAGACTGCAGGTCTGGCCATCCCTTAAATACACCTCCGTAATCAGTTTCAGGTGTTTGGCTGACTGCAGGGTTGAGTCTCTGATTGCTGAGAGCACCCGCTGGCCAGCCCTGGTACTGCAGCCCACAAGGCAGGTGAGTCCCACCATTCCTGACAGTACCCCCCCTCAAGGAGCGGCCTCAGGACGCTCCAAACAGTCCTAGCTGGGCAAAATGTTCCACGGCCCGGTCTCGTAACTGGCGGGATATCAAAGACTGGCACATCGGGCTGGACTCCGGGCAGAGGCACATCGGGCTGGACTCCGGGCAGAGGCACATCGGGCTGGACTCCGGGCAGAGGCACATCGGGCTGGACTCCGGATCACCAGGCGGGGCAGCAGGCACCGGGCCACCAGGCGGGGAAGCAGGCACCGGGCCACCAGGCGGAGCGGCGGGCGCCGGGCCCCCAGGCAGGGCGGCGGGCGCCGGGCCCCCAGGCGGGGCGGTGGGCGCCGGACCCCCAGGCGGAGCGGCGGGCGCCGGACCCCCAGGAGGGGCAGCGGGTGCCGGGCCCTCAGGCGGAGCGGCGGGCATTGGGTCACCAGGCATCAGGTCATTTGGCTCACCAGCGGGCACCGTGTCATCTGGCAAGGCAGTGGGTACCGAGTCACCAGGCACGACAGTGGGTTCCAAGTCAACTGGCATGACCGCAGGCACTGGGTCAGGCATTGGATCGTCTGGCTCGACAGCGGGCATCGGGTCACCAGGCATCACAGCGGGCACTGGGTCATCAGGTACCGGATCGTCTGGATCGACAGCGGGCACGGGGTCATCAGGCATTGGATCGTCTGGCTCGACAGCGGGCATTGGGTCACCAAGCATGACAGCGGGCACTGGGTCATCAGGCATTGGATCTTCTGGCTCGACAGCGGGCATCGGATCACCAGGTATGACAGCGGGCACCGGGTCATCAGGTACCGGATCGTCTGGCTCGACAGCGGGTATCGGGTCAACAGGCATGACAGCGGGCACTGGGTCATCAGGCGTGATAGGATCATCAGGCTGGATCAGTTCATCAGGCTGGGTACAGACATCAGGCTGGGTAGAGACATCAGGCTGAAGTGCGGGTGCCGAGGCACCAGGCTGAACCTCGGAAGGCAGGTTCTCAGACGGCAGGCTCACCGGTTTGGATACTGGCAGGATGGTACTGGTTGGAAAGAATTTTCGCTTTTTTCTGGTTTTAACTACTGGAGCACTGCAAGTAAACGCAGGTCTGCAAACGAATGGAGCAGCTGAGGACAGAGAAGAGCTGGAAGATGGAACAGAGGAGGGAGCAGCCGCCACAGAGGACCTCTCCACAGGGCCAAAGAAAGGATAGGTGCAGCGAGTGGGAGCAGGGGACTGGTATGTGGTAGCTAGCAGAGTATACTGGGCCATCACTGGGGGTGCTGTCGGGGATGCAGGAAGAGTGCCTTGAGCAGAGGAATGACGTTGCAAGCTGACTGAGGCTGGGTGCAACAAGTCTGACCATGTCTGCAGTATGGGTTGAACAAAGCTGAGCTTACACAAAGCCTGTCTGGTCAAAGACTGCACTGCAATTATACAATCCCTTAATACCTGTGGTGAACATGCAGCAGAATGCTCCAAGAAGCAATCAACATCATCCTCTAATAACCATACCAGGGACTCTACCTGGTCTGCACTAAATGGTGGCAAAAAGTCATTCCTGCTTTCAGGGGTACCAGATGAAGCCAACTCTACACAAACCTGAATCAAAGGTTGCACCTCAGAGAACTCTGTGCCCTGATCTACTAGAACATGAGCGATCCGTATACATTCTAGCAGTTGATCCCGAGTATACTGCCTCAGAGTCTGATAAGCATATTCTCTGTCATCAAAAACCAGCAGCGACAAATACACAACCTCATCAAGATCCATCCTTCCCAGCAACAAGCCAAGATGGCTTCCCAGTGCAGCCACTTCTGGTCAGGATTGGCCTTGGTGTAATGTCAGGGATGCGGGTGTGACCAGAGATGTGTGGACTGACGCAGGGAAACACAAGCTTCAGATATGGTATAAATAAGACAATTTATTAAAGACTAACAATACAAACATAAACACAGTGCACCAAACCCCAAGCTAACACAAATACATACAACAAGGTGAAAACAAACCCAAACCTAAACTGATACAGATACCCAGGTACATACACATATAGAGCACAACGTAATTAGGCAGGCCGGGTCGATAACTATCGGGCAGGTAGGTACAGGAGGAGCAGGCGGAGAGAATGGTCAGGGTCACAAGCCAGAGATCAAAACAGGAGAAGTCAGCAGAGGTCAGGATCAGGCCGGGTCGGCAACAAGTCAGGCAGAGGCAGGAACAGGCACAGGAACGCAGGTTACAAGATACAGGGGCCCATGGAAAAACACACACCAAGGCCCAGACTGCAGGTCTGGCCATCCCTTAAATACACCTCCGTAATCAGTTTCAGGTGTTTGGCTGACTGCAGGGTTGAGTCTCTGATTGCTGAGAGCACCCGCTGGCCAGCCCTGGTACTGCAGCCCACAAGGCAGGTGAGTCCCACCATTACTGGCAAGTCCATTCCTGACACGGACCTCCAGCCCCCTTCCCCCTGCTTACCTGCAGGTTGTATCTGCACATTTCAGATACCCATCCAGTGGATCCAGAATTGTCCCACTAAAATCCTCTCATGCCCTGCCACCGCCCCACTTCGCCAAGGTCCCTCTGACATCATCGGGTTCAACAGGCGGGCCTCTCGACGATGCGCCAATAGGCCCGCCCCCTCCTCCTTTCCTCTATTGAAGGCAATGCGTCCTGGGATATGTGACGTGCATATCCTAGGAAGCACAGCAGGCCTAAGGCAAATTACATGCATGGGGAGGTAGGGTAAGGCTTTTTTTAACCACTAGCTTACAGGGCACTTATACCCCCTTCCTGCCCAGGCTAATTTCCAGCTTTCTGCGCTGTTGCACTTTGAATGACAATTGCGCGGCCATGCAACACTGTACCCATATGAAATTTTTATCATTTTTTGTGACAGATAGAGCTTTATTTTGGTGGTATGTAATCACCTTTAGATTTTTTCTTTTTTCTTAAACAAACCAAAAACCACTGAAAATTTTGAAAAAAAAAAGTTTTTTCTTAATTTTTGTTATAAAATTTTGTAAAAAAGTGATTTTTTCTCCTTCACTGATGTGCGCTAATGAGGCTGCACTGATGGGCACTGATAGGCTAAAATGATGGACACTGAAAGGTGGCATTGATGGGCACTGATGAGGAGGCACTGGTAGGTGGCACTGATGGGCATTGACAGGCATCACTGATGGGTACTGAAAGGCAGCACGCATATATGGCACTGATAGGTGGCACTGATAGGCGGCACTGACTGGCACTGATAGGTGGCACTGACTGGCACTGTTAGGCGGCACTGATAGGCAGCACTGACGGGCACTGATAGGCGGCACTGATGCACACTGATAGGCGGCACTGACTGGCACTAATAGGTGGCACTGATTGGCAGCACTGATAGGTGGCACTGACTGGCATTGATAGGTGGCACTGACTGGCACTGATGGGTGACACTTAAAGGCAGCTCAGGTGGGCACTGATATGTGGCATTGATGTGGCACTGATGGGCACTGAAATGTGGCACTGATGTGGCACTGGCAGGTGGCATGGATGAGCACTGAGAGCTGGCACTGATGGACACCGACAGTAGGAGCTGCTGGGGATACACAGATTATCAGGGCACACTGATAATCAGTGCTCTGATGATCTGTGTACATGTCCCCTCCGAGGAATGCCGATTACCGTCTCTCCTCTCCTCAGGAGCTGTCAGCGTGACAGCTCGTGGGGAGAGAAATGCTGATAACCGGCATTTCCCTGTTTACATGTGATCAGCTGTGATTGGACACAGCTGATCACATGACCGAGCTGACATCTTCGGCTCTTTCCATGGATCGGTGATCTGCTGTGTCCGAGGGACACAGCGCACTGCCGATCGCCACGCTGCGCGCTCTGGGAGCCGCGCATGCGTGGTTAGAATGGGAGGACATCATATGAAGTCCTCCCAGAATGAAAGAACCACCTTGCATCCGTCATATTACTATATGGCGGGCAGCAGGTGGTTAAAAAAGGGTCTGCAAAAAAAAAACAACACCATCCATCTACAGGATGGGAGGAGGGGTGAAATTGCAAGAAACATGTTGAAAAGAGTGAAGGTCCGCTAAGGCAAATGACATGCATGGGGAGGCAGGGCCGGGCTTTTTTTTTTAAAAAAGGGTCTGCAAAAAAAACCATCGCAATCCGTTTGCAGAATGGGAGGAGGGGTGAAATGCAAGCAACATGTTGAAAAGGGTGAAGGTCCGCTTTAAGTTGTAAGGCAATGATAAAGATGACAGTCCTGGAACACACACCTTCAAAAACAAGTTAGCAATGACAATTCCTATAGTTCTGTCCTGACAGGTTATGTGTAATGTAAACTGTGCTTGCTGGATAGCATTAGCTATTCACAGATTAGTTTCACTCTTTTGCCTAAAATAGTCCAATAATATCGTTTCTGTTTCTGTGTAATAGCAATAGATGAAATGCCTGCCTAACTGGCATTGCAGGTAGCCGGACTAGCTGGTATACATACATGATGCCCTGCAGTAACATCTCTTACTGTTTATTAAAAACTATTTAAAAATCCTATTATAAAATATTGTATATCTGTACCTGTTGGTCCTTTTGTCTTCCTTCCCAGAGCTTCTCTCCTTTTACTAAACGCTATAAATGTTCTTTATCATATAAATAAGTATTTGCCAGTTTCCATTTTCCAGTTTATTAACAAGAAGTGCTTGGTCTCCCTTGTGGAATCAACAATGAATTATGCAGCCTCAGTACTGTTGTTCTTTATTATCTTTTGGAGAATTTCATTTTCTCAGCAGTAAGATGTATATAAAATTGTATACATAGGAACAAATACTTCATTAGCCGCTTTTTGTAGTAAAAGCGCAGATTTATCATGAAAATGTCCAATTAAATACTTCCAACGCTGCAGTATTAAATCATACATTTGTATCTGTGTGTTCTTTCTGTAGTTCTTAGCGTTTAGATTTAATATACTAAAAAGCAGAAAGGCAATGCTAACATAATTAGATCTGAGCATGTGTGCTGCCTGCTTGACAGCTGTAAGTTAAGTCGGTCTGTTCAGCAGCAAGACTCGCTCCATAATACTCCCGGCATTTATATATTTTATGAGCAAATAAAAAGGAAGCTGCGTGTTCCATTTCATGATTATATTCAGGTGGATGTAAGAACTTTGTTTCTAAATGTCCTAATCAATTTTTCCCATATAGGATTGAGGTAGATTAGTAAAACAGCTTATTTTCCAATATATTCCTTTAACTCCTACTTAATGTTATCCTTTGAATGCCTTGAATGCTATTAGATGCAATCATCTTTTTTATTTAAAGGCCAAATCTTCTCAGGGAGTTTATGAGCAAATAGGTGATTGTGTGTTATATTGGTGGCATAGAACACACTGACTTAAGGTGGGAATACACAATTAGAAAATTGACCGATCGGTTATCCGACGACCATGAAGTGTTCGTTCATTGGTCGAAATCGTGGTCCACATTAACCAATCTAAAAAAATCGTTCGTCGGGCAATACATAGTGTTGACGTCTTCCGTACAAGTGGAAGTGATGCAGTGTGCGTGTGACTTTGTAGCCACACCCTTCCGGCCAGAACAAGCGATATACACAATTAACAGCAATGAGTATAATATCGTTTATTACATTATCTATATACATAAATAGTGATACATAAAATATAATATGCAGAATTCTGGTTTCATTATCTCATTAGGCCAATCTACTTTTAACATTTGGATTTTTTGTACGTGTTTACGAAGATTCCTTGGACATAAACATCCGGGTCATCTGCTGTTTCCGCTCATGCGTGATAGCGCTTGATAGATTTTTTTTGTATGAACGGCATACCACCGCATAGAGAATCAGTTGTTCGTATGCGAAACGACAACATTTTTCACTGTTGTTCAACCGGATTTTTTCGTTCACAATATCATTATCGGTGAAAACATCCTGCTCATCAACAAAGAGAAAATCGTTCGATCAGTGGTTCAGCTAACATTTTCGCATGATTTTCTTATCGTGTGTACGGGGCATTAGGCTCCATTCACACCTATGCAGTTTTCTTTTTGTCCGTTTTGCAGTGCTTTTCGCAGTGCATTTTGCGTTTTTCTACACGCGTTTTTGACGCTTTTTTTAAGTGGAATTTTTTATGTTACTGGGCAGAATAAAAATTCAAAACATGACAAAAACGCGGCGAAAATGCACTACCATGCATTTCAGCAGATTCTCCATTAAAATCTAATATAGCAAAAATGCTGCTTTTTGCTTTTAAAAAAGTCCCTGACCCTTTCCAAAAATGCAACAGCTCAAAAAAGCATAGATGTGAACATGTTCCATAGGAGACCATGTTAAATGGACTGCAATGCGTTACTGCAAAAAGCACTAAAAAACGCATTGGTGTGACTGGAGCCTAAGGCGGGCCATAGATGATACGATTTTCTTTCCTATAACCATGGGTTTCAGGAAAGAAAACCACTTGATTCCCCCATCAACACAGTCAGTGATAATAGGGAAATCCCTCCCACAGAGCTATTGTGTTCTCCCGCGGGGGGGGGGGGGGGGGGGACATGTGGCGGGAGCGATTACATGCAATAATTGCATGTAAAAATCTGACATGCTAGTCATGCCTAAATTGTACAACAATCAGTCTGCCCAAAGATGGGTACACTCAGCCTACCCAAAGATGGTTCGAATCTCGGCTGTTCCCTGCTGAACTTGCTGAGTTTCGAACCATCTATGGCGGGTTAAGGTAGAAAGAAAATCACTTGATTCGCATGCTAAAAATCCAACATGCTGAATTTACCCAAATCGATCGATGGATCAACAAAACTGACTTCCAGGCACACGTTAACCCCTTGCGGACTGGGCAATATACATATACAGCCAATCTGCTGCTTTTCTGAATGATGAAGAGGGACTCCTTTTAACAAATTATATATAAGAAAAGGGCATGTCCCTGCCATAGCCAAGGTTACGGACCACAAAGTGCTTTTTTTCACCTTTTTCCTTTATATTGACTTTTTATGCTATACAGCTTGGATAAAAATTTCATTGCAGCATAACACAACTAGTAGTAAAAGTAGTGAATGACAGCTGGGAGTTATGTCAGCAAATCCTCTAGGCGCTGAGCTCCTGTGCGTGGCTGCATTCACAGTCCTGTGGCTGCACTGTGATTGAACACAGTGGATCACAGAGAAAAGGTACAGAGCCAAAGGGAGTGGTTCTGTACCACATGATCGATGTGACCAAACACAGCATGACAGAATGACAAATAACAGCTAGTAGGTGTGTGTTGCTTAGGCTAAGTTTATACACTCGACAGACATTGATACCCCTCAGCAAAGTGATTTATGGTAGATTGCTTTTCCAAGGTGTTTGACAGGTGGTGAGGAGGCGATATGTCGCAGTGGTGTAGGCTTTAACCCTGTAAAGCCCACACCACTGCGCCACAACCAAATGCATTGCACAAGGTTGCAGGGCAATTACGGCACTGCTCCATTCACTATAATGTGGTATGTCCCCATATCGCCACAGGTGGTATCACTTTTGGCATTGCCATGGCATGTATATATCCCTGGGAGCGGTTCACACTACTGTGATGCAACTTTGATTTGCAATTTACTGTGCAACTTTGATGTGACTTTGCATATTCTATAGGGTCAAGTCGCACTGTAAATCACACCAAGGTAGTACAGGCACCTGTTCCAAAACCACACTGTGCTGAGTCGCATTGTTTAGAACAGGACCATTGAAAACAGTCAGATTTCCCTTGTTATGCGATTATGTGCGACATAAGCGCAGTTTGCTCTTTCACCAGTTCAATCTAGTACAGTTCCAACAATATTAAAAATCCACTCCCTTACTGTCATTCACCCCTCTCCTGTATATGTCAGCCCCATCCTATGTCTGATCTGACCTGTATATTGACCTCTCACCTACCTTCTCCTGCACATCTGTATATTAACCCTTTCATCTCCATTCTCTCACCACCTGATTCCTCTGTGTACATCCTGTACATTTAATGCACCTAGTACAGAATTACCAAGCTGCATGTTTTAACCCTGTTAATACTGGCATGTTTCTTTGTTTTCAAACAATTGTGGCAAACAACCAGCATGTTTCATCTCTTTCATTTCCAGGCCATTTTTCAGCACTGTGATACTTTGACTGACAATTACTTTGTATTGCAACACTGTACACTTATTTAACACTGGGTTTATAGTAAAAAAAAAAAAAAATTTGATCCCCTGGGAAAATAGGCACTCCAAAGGGATCAAGTTTTTTTTACTATAAACCCAGTGTTAAATAAGTGTAAAATGTTGCAATACAAATGAATTGTCAGTCAAAGTATCACAGTGCTAAAAAATGGCCTGGAAATGAGAGATGAAACATGCTGGTAATTAGGTGGTTAATTCAACTCTGTGCTTTTTAAACATTAACATTATGTGCTTTATTTGAATACATGTAGTGTAAGTACCAGAATTTGACTTTTTATCAGCCTCTTGTAGTTCCAGTACTGAACAGTTAAAACTGGGAGGGAGGAGCAACACAAGGAGATAAT